CAATTTCACTCAGAAACATTGCAGAAACCTCTTTTACTTCATAATTCTAATCTTCATACTAAATGTTAGTAAAATAATCGGCTAATCTCTGCGAATTACATTTTCTATTCAGCTACAATTCTCAGGCCATGAAGATTCATGTTAGTAACCTTACTAATGAGGCGGGGACATTCTATATCCTCATATGTTTAGACAAGCCTAAAATCTTGCTTTATACTTTGGAGCTTCTGATGAAACGTAGTCTTCGGGCATATCCTACACTGGGGCATCCCGTATACTTCCCACTAGCAGCACGATTTATAGTAATTGGGATTTCTCACTAGAGTCGATAAAGAAAATCGCCACATTTGGGCAAGTATTTAAAAGGTCGTATTTTACCATTGTCTTAATAAGACTTAGATGTTTTAAAACCGGTCCTCATATAAAAAGCTGTCTTGATCATACTTTAAGGCCCTGGGTTGTTGGGCTTGAAAATTTCCAAAGCAAAATTTGTATAGCAAGGATTTCTAAATTCGCCAGTTGCCACCACTTCACATCCGCTTACACTATTTACAACATCCAATACGTGATTAGATGGAACTTGTCTATCTCTTGATCATATTAAACAAATTCAACACAACTGATCACTTTTTCAGCATATGCTAACGCTTATTTAAGGCCAAAGATTGTAGTGGTAAACTCTAGCAAGTGATCGTTCATCCTGACGAAGTATGTGAAACTAGGCTAGTGACTTATGTGAATAAAGACTAGCCCTTAGGGCTCTATCATGACTCAGATTATTGGGTAACATCCAAGTGGCATTATCCTGTCGACTTATTTCGGGAAGTCATTAGCAGATGAAATATTAAGTATGTGCTAGCTAGTTTCAATAAAGGCTGTCCCCCTTCCCACATAAATCCTTTGCCAACTTTGATAAAATATTAAGTCACTGTTTGCCCGGCTACACAATAGGGCAGAAGCGGGTATCAGACTCACACTAGAGGCCAAGTTTTCTTCTGAAATTCTTCAACAAGAACAGCGCTGCTCTACGGAGAGCAAAATTGCCAGGCTTAATGTAATTTTTGCTCGGAACCTAAATTAATATTTGCAAATATTAACACTAGCTTCAGTGCCCTGCCTTCCACAAAGCATTTTACGTTACCACTTGTCCATTATATTCAGGTTAGACCAGAGATCCGTTCACGTCTTAACACTTTGAACAATCTACTGCCTCGATTGCAAGACAAGCCTGTCTCTTCCGATGCCTTAGCAGGCGGACCCGGAAACCAGTCCAATAATGCATCGGGTGGCGGCACTAGCTCTTCATCTCCGGGCAAATTGCCAACAGTTGATGAAGCCTGGAACCTACCGATTCCGGCTGAGCTAACTCAGCGTCAGATGAATTTGATGATGCAGGCCGCCGCCTCCACTACACAGACAGGCTCGTCTGGCCTTGTGAGTGGTCCCGACTTAGCTACACTGGAATTGATCCCTGGGGAGCAATCTATGGGCCCCGTTAGTGGTGCACAAGCAGGTGGCAGGAAACGTTCTTCTTTCGCCGGGCTTTTGATTCCTGAAACGCCCTGTCTTCCTAATCCGAGCCTGCGTGCTAGACTTACTGAGTGTCTGAAGGCGCATCGACAACGCCGGAAACAGCAATGGCGCCGACGCAAAGGGAGAACAGATTTAGTTGATAAAGCAGAAGACAATGATAGTTGTGAAGAGGACGGCGAGGATGAAGGGGAGGAAAAAATTAAGATTGAAAAAGAAGACGAAGGTGATGAGTCTTTCATACTCGGAATGTGTTTTTTATTTTTTAGAATTTAACTCCTTGATATAAATAATGGTGTTATGAACAGACTCCACCAGGCTTAAGTAGCGTAGGCTTTTTAACGTTTTTTATTCCATTTAGCCTTATTTACTTTTCTTTTGATAGCTTAAAATATTTTGCAGTGGCTCGAATTGTGTCCCTACTAGCTTAGATAGTATAAATGACGAACTTTTATATTTTGGTTTAATCTCATTTCAGCATCTTGATCGAGGGGTAGTGGAAGTCTTGTTGAATGTAAGCAGTCTTGATTTCTCTTCCACAGTATTCACAATATTGCCCAGAATTGGACTGTTGGTTTGTTACATGCTGGAAATTGTCATGGATACTATGGCAAAGGCTGCAGGCCTGGGTACATTCCACAAGGTCTCCTTTTTCTCCTCTTGCTTTTCGAAAACGAAGTGGAAAAAACACTACAGCTAAATGAGATTTCGACGAAATTTGATGTCTGCCAATCATGGTATTTTGTAAGGTTTTATTTATATAGTGGTTGTTTTTTTATTTTCCTGCTGCTGATACGTATTCGTGTTTTCATCACGTAATTCTGATCGAAGTAAGTTTTAATTTGTAAATTGTTTTGAGATCGCATGACCATTAGTAATTGGTCAGGGGATTTATTAATTCAATTAGCCTTAGCAAATGTGGATATGCACGATTAATCATCAAAAGAGCTGAAAGCAGCTTAGATATTTATGCCTATAGAATATTTTGGTGAAAAAAGTAAACATATTAGTATCAGTGAGAAAATAATGCTGCTTTCTTTTAACAAAGACATTCGGCATGCATAAACATCTAAACTGTTTTCGGCTTTGTTGATGACTAATTATGCCCCTACACCTTACATGTACCATAGTTGATGGAATTCGGGAGTCACCTGACAAATTACCATCGCTTAATACCCATGCTTAATTTGTATAGAGTCTCTGCAGCTATCAATATAATTAAGTTACAATACATGTACACAATTTTTTCAAGGTCTGATAGTCTATATACTTTCAATCAATTGAGTCAGCAAGAAAAAAAATGATGCTAACGTTATATGGTTCAGTAAGTACTTTCTATTATGTCGACACTAGGGTTGTGACAATTGACTAACATACTTGGCTCTGAGGAGTAACTATTTACAATTCTTCTGGTGATCACTAAGATCTAGAAAAAGCTGAATGGAACAGTCTTGTTAGAGATAAGACAAGTTTATGAAGGATAACTGGGTTTTGAAGAATTCCTTAGTGAAATATTGTGGAATGATTCCATTTTGAAGGGAAAGTTGGTTGGAAGGAATTCGTTATCTTTTCGCATCTGAAACCCAAGGAGAATTGTCGCGTAGGAAAGACTGTTGAATTGTGTGAATAAATCATCGACTCATCGTCCGGATAGCCCGATGAAACTGAGCTAAGCTTTTGTCTGTACTCTGACAGATATCAATAGAGCAAGTATCCATACTTTACGAGCAAAAATAAAATAAACCAAGAGATAAAGTGGGCGGCTGCAACCCTAGTCGCCTAACTTTGTGATCTTAATGTAACATCCTATTATTTGGTTGGCTATTCCAAATTTACTATATATGCTTGCAAAGGAGTGAAGCTAACTTCTCGAAACGAAACTGCGTTCGGTGGCAGCTGTTTCAACACATTTAGAGTACGATCGCTAAATGCTGAATCATCTTTGGGCTATTGTCTATTGTGTGTATGTAATGCTCATGTCTTGGGAAGTATGATAGTCCTAGCTTAAATTTAGGTAAATCCAGCCTCTTGCTCAGTGGCTCTTGCTGCTTCGCCTCTCTTTCCCTTTACTTAATTCTATCCAACAGCCAGAAATAATTCCTACCTAATTTTCTACACTGATTCATTCTATTCAGTACGTTGACTGTTTTGTTAATTTCTATATGCTCCCTAATCTTACGCTTCT